GTGTGGACGGGATTATTTTTTTAAAATGAAAAAAGAAAGTCTCCGTTTTCAAAAATACCCGTGTACGTGTGGACGTAGCCTCAGATTATGCCTGGATGAATCACAGCATATCTATGCCAATTATTTATTATTAAGGAGGAGAAGCTGCTACTCTATAGCAGGAATTAAAGAGACCCATAAAACATCCCCTTTCACATTTAAATTAACAGCTTTAATGACCCACGAACCAAACTATGTGGCAGACCTACCTTTGGTTTAACTTCAAAGAAGGATGGCGGCATCATGCTGTAGTGGAAGTGAGTTGTAAACATGCGTGGAGACGGCCTCTTTTCAAGGTTGAGGATGAGGGCTCGATTCTCCTCCAGCCATGGAACACGGTCCCAGTTGTGGAGAGTCTCAACGGAGGCCGGATCCCCTCCGCTCATGATGAGAGGGAGCATCTCCTGCATCCATGTCGTACCTACAAAAAAGAAACAATCTCATGTTTGGATTTAGCTTTTATTTGGGCCTCCCAATATTAGAGCTATTAAAGTGTCATTGTACACCAACTTTCTAAAATACAGTGTCAATTTTGATTAAGCATGCCTCACTGCCACCTGGGTAACAACTTCAAGTTGTTATTTTGAAGCCCATATTTCAATAAACAGAAAGAAACCATGGCTGTCAATGTCACGTCTACGCTGGCAGACGTGGAGTGGAGAGAGTGTGAGGACCTAAACGCAAGCATTGGAGAGAGAACAGAACTTGATCTGAAAGTGAGCCTTTATTATGGCAGAGCAGAGCACAAACAAAAGCAAAAGGTGACAATGACTAAGCTAATAAAACCTGAAAAAGAAGTACAAAGAAACTAAAGACCTGAGATGTGGAAAATGGAACATCGAAACCTGGAGCATGTAAAACAAAAGCAATGGGAAAATGTGAAGCAAAAAACCCAAACCCAGAGTCTACAACAAGACACAACAAATCTACTCAGGAGGTGAACCGCAAGACAGTAGTGATGTGCGGAT